CAAGGAATAGCCCATCCTAAGAACATGCTCAAAGTATGTAAGACAAAATTTCACTATCCTTCCCCTAAAAAGCACTCTGGTTGCATTTTCTCCAGGACATATATGTTAGTTCTTTTGGCAGTCCATGTGATATTCAGTACTCTTCTCCAAAACCACAACTCAAAGGCATTGATTCTTCCATCATCCATATTTGTCTTGTTTTTGTTGTTATTGTTATGTGCCATCGAGTTGTCTGCAACTCATAGCAACCCTATGTACGACAGCCCTATCTCTACTCTATTCTGAGCCAATCTCGCTGTCTCTGATACACCTACTCCCATGACCCCAGTCACTGAATCAATCCACCTCACAAAGGGTCTTCCTCTCCTGTGCTGTCCCTCCACCCTCCCAAGCATGACGTCCTTCTCCAAGGACTGGTCCCTCCCTGAAACAGGTCCAAAGTATGTAAGACAAAGTTTCAGAACATTTGCCTCCAAGGAGCAGCCTAGTTTAACCCTCTCCAGGATGAACCTGTTTGTTTTCTTAGCAGTCCATGGTATATTCAATACTCTTTTCCAACACCACAACTCAAAGGCATCAATTTTCCTTCTATCCTCCCTAGGCATTGTCCAACTCTCTGATGCAAAGCAAATGACTACAAAGACCATGGCCTGTAGCAGGTGCACCTTAGTCTCCAGAGTTATATCATTGCTCTTCAGTACTTTGGAGAGGTCCCTAACAGCAGACTTTCCCATCCCAACATGTCTCTTAATTTCCTGGATGCTAGTACCAAAAGTTGACTGTGACACTAAGCAAACTAAAGCTGTCAACAATCTCAATCTCTTCACCATCCATACTGATGCTGCCAATTGGCCCAGTGGTGAGAATCTTTGTCTTCTTGACATTGAGCCTCAATCCATATTGAAGGCTGCAGTCCTTGACCCTCTGAAGCAAGTGCTTCAGGTCCTCCTCAGTTTCAGCAAGCAGGGTTGTATCATCTGCATAACGCAGATTGTTAATGAATATTCTACCAATTCTGATGCCACACTTCTCATCATTCAGCCCCACCTCCCAGATAATCTGTGGTATACCTCAAATAAAATGTTAAGCACAATGTGAATACTTTTTAAAGTATTTGTTAAATATGTAATAAATTTAACATGTTGTTGTTGTTATGTGCAGTCAAGTATGGCCCGTATCAACTCTATGAACAACAGGTCTGAACCCTGTCCTGTGCCATCCTCACCATCCCTGACATGCTGAGGCCACTTCCGCAGTCACTGCATCAATCCATTTGGCTGAAGGTCTTCTCTTTCACTGATCCTCCAAATTTCCAAGCACAGATCTAGCAATATGCCCAAAGCTTTATCACCTTGGCCTTCAAAAAGTACTCTGGATGTTTGTTCTTTTGACAGTCCATGAGATCTTCATTATTAGTCTACACCACCACCACGACTCAAAGTCATCAATTTTTCTTCTGTCATCCTTATTCACTGCCCAGCTCTCAGACTTTAGTCCTCAAATAGACGTCACTTCTCCTCAATAATTTTGAGAAGTCCCTGACT